GGGGGGGGGGGGGGGGGGCCGGGGGGAAAGAGCGGGGGGGGGGGGCACTGGGAAGGGGCTTTCTGGCCTCAAGAGCTGGGACCGTCTTCAGTTTACGCTTAGGGTTCCTGCGCTTCAGTGGTGGCGCTGGCTTTCGGACAGCGGCTGTCTCGGGCAACAATAAGCTGGTCTGGAAATGGGGAAGGGGGCCCCTAGCTGACAGAGGGTCCCCTCTGCTTATCATGGGCCTCCGTGGTGGGGAAGAACCGCCTTATTCTCTGCCTGGAATCCTGGGGGGCTGCCTTGGTTGGAAAGGACAACCCTGGGGCTGGCCTCACGGTCTAGCAGCATCCTGCTCTAACCGGTGGCCCGTAGAGAGCGGCATTCATGCCAGGCCCACAGCTGGCCCGCCGTGCTCTTAGGAACATCCCAGCAGGATGTTCTCCCGGGAACTCGGGCCAAATTCCTTAGGAAGCTGCTGCTGGAAGAGGTTTGGCTGCGCTTTGCATGCTGGCGGCGAGCAGGGAGGAGGCCGGGACTGTGGCCGGAGCGAGCTGCGCGGCCTCCTGCGGAACAGGCCTGGCAGTTTGCATTTGCCATCCGGAACTGGAGGCGTCTTTTCCAGCAAGGCACGGCAGCAGGAGAATCTGGAGTGGCACTGCCCTCTGCCGGGCATTCTCCGCTATCGAGTGCAAAACGCATGCAGTGCTAGGGAGGGGGATAGCCACACAACCCCCCCGTACCTCCCCCACCCCCCTTTTTAAATCAACCACCTGGTTCCTGGCCACCTTCAGAAGCAGGGGCTAAGGGGGTCCATCGTTTGGGGACAAGGGAGGGCAACCTGACTTGGGGCCACTCATTCACTTTTAGCCCGGCCTACCTCTCAGGGATTGATTGATTGATTGATTGACTGATTTCAGATGCTAGGCTGACATTTGACTCCTACGATTCTGGGCGGCTATCATAGCAAAACTGTGAAAAAATGGGGATAAAACCCCCAGAGATGCTGTCAGGTGAACAACAGCTGACCCTTTTTCCGCACCGTGGAGCGGACACACACACACACACGCCATCACCCTAACCCAAGACCTGGGAAAGTTCCATGTTTTTAATGCTCTTTAAAAGGCTAGGAAGGTGAGGGCTGCACAAAACTCTTAACCCTAACCCTCGCCTTGAGCCTTGTGGGGTGTGAAGTCGAACGAGCCCCAAGTGCCAGGGTTCCTGTCCTGGAAGCGGGATGTCCTCTGAGCCTCCCTCCCTGGGGGAAAGGTGTGAGCCCCGCGGTGATGGAATAAAAAGGTCAGCAGGAGGGCCTGCAGAAGCAAGCCACCTTCGAAGTGGAGGCTCCAGAAGCGGGTCTGGCCCCACCCTCCTCCTGCCTGCCAAGCTATGTAGTGGCACCCTTCTCAGAAAGACCTTGGCTCTGGCTTGCGTTTGCCTGGATTCAGGCCGTGCGCCACCAGGGCCGGGCTGGGCTGGGCTGGGCTGGGCCGGGCTGGGCTGGCACAACAGGCTGAACCCTAAACCTGGAATAATAAAACAAGACGGTGTTGTTCGCATCGTAGCCAATGCCAACCTAACACGTTGAGACAAACTACCCAGCCAAGTGTGTTGTGCAATGTGGCCGGTGCTTCTAGATGACTTTAGAGTGTGTATTGGTGAGAGCAGGGGACAGAACGGGCCTCGAGGAGGCCGTTGCGTAGAATTCCTGTTTGCAGGGAGGTGCATAGTCCAGTGGTGACACGCGTGTGCTCTGTGGATATTTGTAGAGCAGGAAGGCCTGCTGAGGCATCCCTTCTGTCTTCTTAATTCTGCTAGGAAATTTGCCAGTGGGGAAGGGTGCTGGACTTTCGGGTTTGCAAAACCTGCCAGATTTCCAGTGATGTCATTTGCCACCCACCAGAGAAGTGCAGAAGGCTTCTCTGGGAGGGCTGGAAATAGCCTGCCCGATGCTACTGAAGACCAGAGGCCTGATTCTAAGAGAGGGCCCCCAAAGCATAGCGCGTGGGTGGATCAGGCCTCTCCTGGGTGTTGAAAAGAGGGTGCAGATCCGGTCCAAAGCTTTCTGTTTTAGGAAACAACGGGACATTCCCGGGCTGGCTTTAGACTTCATTCCCAGGGTTTTATTGAGGGGAGAATTGTCCGAAAACGTTGCCTTTCATATATATTCCTCCTGGAGTTTGATATTGATTTCTCTTTTTGCCTCCCCCTCCCCCAAGAAAGAGGTGAACTGATCCATGAAGCCCCCCCTGTTGCTAGCCAACGTGCCAGGTCCAGCTTGTGAATTGCTGGTGAAAGTGGGACATTTGGGCTAAAGCCCCCAAGGCGGGGAACGTACGGAATCGGCGTTAGGGCTGACTTGATGCCAACAGAAGGCAGGAGGCGGCTGGGCTAAACGGAGCAGGGGGAGAAGTGAGTTCCTTTGGCAAGCTACATAATGGTTCTTGAGTTTTCCTTTCGTGGTGAGAGAGGGCATTTTTGCTCCCACCCAATGCTGCACGATCGGTTCAGTTGTTTCTCGACTGGTCTTACAAAATCTTCTTTGCAACGGAATTCAGTCGCATGAGCTGAAGCTGAGAATGTGCCGTCTGCCCAGCTGCATGCAGGAATCTTCTTTAAAGGTCTCTTGAGACAGATTGCCCGGGCAATGCTTACAACAGAGCAGGATGTCAAAAGGTTGTGTGTGTGTGTGTGTGTGTGTGTGTGTCTGTGTGCGTTGGGGTGGGAAGATGATTATCTGCAAGGAAAGCAGCCCTTATCAGAGAGAGAGTGCTAGAATTAAATTATATCGACAAGGGACTTAAACTGCCATTTGACTCAAAGGCATGTTGAAAGCACATGAAACCAGGCCCTCCCCCCTCCCCAAAACACAGAGCCAAGAAAGGAAGGAGAAATGAATCTCTGATTTACATTTATCATCCTGGAACCACGAGCACTTTACATCATAGATTCAACCTTTAATCTCTCTCTTTCCGTTAAACTCTTCGATAACAGTTGCAGAATATGCTTGGGAAATACTGGCGGGTCACCCAAACTACTCTCACGCACACCGTTTTCTCCTCCCCAGCTACAACTTGCTTTTCTTGCAGTAGGTTTTGTACAGCCACCTGTAGCAAGAGAATCCGGCTCTAACTGGGCCTTGGAAAAGATTCAGGCGGCATTTTGGTGCCTGAGCCAAGGCGCGTCTCGTCTGTGCTCCTGAAATGTTCCCCGTGGAGAAGGGGGCTGTGAGTCTGGCATCAGCGGTGGGTGCTGCAGTGGCCCCTGACAGCGGGGCAGCCACGCCATTCCTCAATCCACACGCTAACATTGCAAATGGTGCATTATTGCACACCAACTCTTTTTTTTTTTAAAATGGCCGTGAGGGTCGCTTCCAAACACTCCCCGCATTTTTCTGCCTTTTCTCCCTTTTGGGGAAAGTGAAAGCAGCTGGAGAGGCGAGGAACACAGAGAAGTCTGATAGCTGGCTTCTGATTCAGAAGTTAAGGCCTTGTTTTTCCCTGGGGGGAAGGGGGGACCCTGCTGGGTGGTCCAGCGCAGCCAGGAGTTTCCCAGGCTTGCCGTGGGATGGTCCGCACCCCTGAAACTACAGCGTGCCTTGGGGCTGGTCTCAGTGTGATGCAGCAGCTCCAGAAAATTTCAGCCCGTCCCACAAGCACAGGAGCGAGAGCGGTTTACTTTTGGAGGTTGGCAGCCTCAGTTGTCTGTTCTGAAGCTGCCATCTTGTCCCCTGGTTGGCGATCGCTTGGCACAGAGCGCAGTCATAGTGTGTCTTCTAAGACATCCTTCCTTCCTGGTCTCTCTCTCTCTTTCTCCCTCTTTCACACACTCCCTTTCTGCATTGCAACGATTCACACAGTTCCATCCCTCTGGAGTCTTCAGATGGAGCAGCTCCTTTCGTGCATGTCTTACCACAAAGACCTCATTTCTGATCCTTTAAGGGCCCTCCCCTCCCCTTGTCCTCTTCGACAACTTGCTCTGGACTCTGCCCTCTTTTTGTGGCCGTCACCCACAGCAATGCAGTGGTCATTCTGTTTTGCTCCGCGTGAGCCTGGTGCCTGTAGTGCGAGTCCGCAATAGCAGCATCTCCGTTTGCAACTCCTGTCCTGTTCCACGCACTGAGTTTGAACCCTTAAGACATTTTCATACAGCTCCTTGCTGGTAGGTGTTTATCCCCACGGGTAATGAAGGGGCTTCTGAGGGGGGGGAGCTGTTACAGCCTGTACTAGCCCCAGGTGGCCTTTACCCCAGATGCAAGCATCTCAGATTCTGACTGCTTGGGCCAAATTCCTGCACATCGGTAGAATCTTTTTCCTAGGACCCAAGAAACCTTTTTTTTTTTAATAAGCACCAGCTCTTTTCCTGAATAACTCACTCCCATCTCCTCCAGTAGAACTACAGACGTTGAGCTGTGTGAAGGAGACAGGGAGGGAAGAGGCTTCGGGGGGCACCCGGCTTCCTCGGCTCGGGAATCCTGGCATTGGGGTGTCCCCCTCGGCTCAAAACTCAGGCAGGAGGAGGCTGGCTTCTGTCATACAGACCTCTGGAGAGCAGCAGTCATCTGCATGTCTCCCCTGAACTCCATGGAGGCAGCTGGAAATCATTGCTAAACTAGCAGTAACTTTCTCTCAGCTCTTAGATGTTGACCTTTGTTGGCTGAACGGTGGAACCTCCCACGTCTTCCATTATCCAGGCCACCTGCAATTAGCTGTTCTGGCCCCATTGCCCCTGAAAGATCATGGACTTGTTCAAGCCTTGGGAGCAATCTCCGGCAGGGCCATTTGTTCAGCAGTTGGGGCTGAGGTCCTCTCCAGGAGGGAGTGAAGGTGGTGAGGATGTTTTCCTGATGGACATTCACTTCTTACGATGGTATCACAGTTTGCAAACCAGCCAACCACACCAAGAAGTTGGGTGTTACTTCTTCGGCGCGTTCAGGTGGTGCTTGGAGGAAGATGCCCTCTTCTGGCTGGAAGACTTCAGAGCCTCCAAGTTGCCTTCATCCGGAGACAGCGGTTTCAGTTCCCAGCTTCTGCTTTTGTGCAGCGTTACTTTCGTGGACCCATTTCAGGATTTCTGTCCTGTATCAACAGAGCATTCAAACAACAGTCTGTCCTTGAAGCGCTTTATGCAAGAGCCGCACAGGTCCCATTCTTGTCAAGCTCATCCTCAGACAGGCTGATACGCAAACAGGTTTCATTGATGGCCAAGAAGGGCTGTGTGACGTTCAAGTTCTCAGCTGCTTCCCTTGGGTCTTCCACCGGCGAACGTGCCTCTGCGTCCTGCCCAATACCCTCCCGGCTTTGGGTTTTGGCACGGCCACTAGCTGTCCTGGCGTCAGACTCAGACCTAGAGAAGATGCCAGCGCTACCGAGCATGGAGGGTTCTGGATAGGCTCTGGCAGCTGCTCCAACCTTCTCCGTCTCCGAGCAAGGAGAGATGGTCTTACTCGATCTCCTCCGCAGGGTGGGTGGAGGTGGATTCAGCTTGGGAATGAACAGCTGCAATCTGTCAAATGAGGATGGGAACAGGGTAAGAGCCAAGGCCGGCTGGCTAGCTATGTGAGGTCGGGCGTGCACATGCCGTGTGGAACCTCAGCCTGAGAAGGAAGCAACCATCTGTGTGGCTGGACGTAAAAGCCAAAGCGATGGCAGAGACTCGCAGCTTGGTCGGGTCAGCCCAGAGCAAAAGCACCACACCTGGGTTCCTTACCTTTCCCTCTGCACCGGTGCATCTGGGCCGCTGCATGTTGGCTGCGTGCCTCCGTTGGGCCCGCCGCATTCGTCCGCCTCGGATCCCTCGACGCTGCGGAGGCCGTCGGGCCCTTCCAGAACCACCAGCTGTTCTTCGTTCTCTAGCCTGCTGGACAGTCCACCGCCCTTCTCCAAGCTGGCCATGTTCTGGTGGGATTCATACAGGGCGAGATGCGTCATGGGGCTGCCCGCTATGCTGGCTGGTGTCGAGGTGGAAGACAAATTGATTTCCAGGCTGCAGTGGTCCTTCAGGCTGAGGGACAGCGGGTGGTCCAAGTTCAAGTTCTGCAGTGAACGGTCAACTGGGGATAAGGAGGGGGAAGACGTGGTTCAGCGACACCCTGGAAGCTGGCAGGTTTTGTGCCATATTGTAAGAAGGCACTCCTCTGGAGCGGCTGGGCTTCTTTCTGGCAAGGGCAGCGCTCCCTTAGAAATGCTCTCCGGCGGCTCCTTTCCTTGCACCTCCGCTCCCCCCTTCTTCCTCCCTTCCACGTCCCGAGCCCCTCCGTTCTCTTGCTCCCGAAGAGCAGACGGCGGGGGGCAGGCTGCACGGATCTCTTGCTCACCTGGACGTCGCGGCTGCACCTTGATCTCCAGCTCCTTCAGTTGCCTCACCAGCAAGGAGACATGTTGGAGGAGATCGCGGTTAGTCAGGAGCAGTTGGCGGACCCGAGCCTGGGCCTCCACGCGGGCGGTGGTCTCGGCCGACAGCTGGTCTTCCAGCAGTTGCACCTGTGGGAAGAGGAAGAGGCCGGCACTTGGTGTGGCAGGGATCTCCTTGTTGCCCCCAGCGCAGGATGCCCAGAGGGGCTCAGCCTCTAATCACGGATCTTCCATCAGGCACGCTGGCTGGAGCTGCAGCGCCATCGCCTCTGGAGGGCCCCTTTTTGGGGATGGCAGCTGGAGCTCTCTTTGCAGTTTAGAAGAGATGGAACTTACTATCGGCCACAATTTCCACGCCAGGACACTCAACCCTACAAGCCCCTCTGCATTGTCACCAGCCAGTTCCGGTCTGACACCTGGGGGCCCCAGTTGGACCGGCTGCTCTCATGGAACCATTGTGGCAAGGAGTCCCGCAGGTTGGCCTTGTGGACTGCCAGCAGCCCTCTCCGGGGGGACCAGGGGCAAGATTCTGGGTTGTGGTGGTAACTGAGAGCCAGAGGCTTGCCAGCGGAAAGGGCAGGCATGGGAAGTTTCCACCCTGGACAGAGAGGGGTTACCTGTGCAATGGCCACCTGCGTCTGCTGCTGCTGCTGGAAGAGCTGATGCTGGAGCAGCTGGAGGCAGTGCTGGGAGGCGAGCGGGGTGGCCGAGGCAGAGGAACCGGGGCTCCCGGTGCTGCCTAGCGGCTGGGCAGAGGAGGGCCGAAGACAGCTGTTCTCATTTTCCTGCAGCCCAAAAGGGAGCGGTCAGCCAGAAACCGGGGGCTGCTCCTTTTTCCCTCCCCAGTAAGCCACACGGATCCAGAGGGAGTCGCATCTCCGCCTCTCCTGTTTCATTTCCCATCTTCTCACGACCGTCTCCAAAGGGAGAACTTTAGCCGTCACCCACCTGGCTGTCCCTGGCCGTCGGGCTGAGCCCAGTTTTCAGGTCCCCCAGGTCAGGCACGGAGAAAGGCAGCTCGCAGACGCCGCAGTCGGGCAGGCACGCCCCTCCCGAGATGGCCAGGGTATTCTCTCTGTCAGCCAAGGACGGTTCCACCGGCTGGAGACCTTCAGGGGACACCGCAGAGGCAGAAAAAATAAGACCCAGCTGGTGATTCTGGCATTCGGCAACTCGGAAGAGGATCGCCTCGACAGGGGTCTTGTGTTCAGCCTGATTTATGAGTTGAAACCCCTTCCCAGCCTATGGAAGAGGAGGGGAAGTCTGGAACAGCCCAGACTTGGGCTGCGTTATTGTGGAGCTCTGCAGAACGGTGGCCTCTCAGGGCTGGACTGCTTATCTATCACTCACCTAGACAAGTCCACCTTGGACGAGTCTTATCTGCGGCAGGCAATTTAATTTTTGAATGGATCCAAGGGCATCGCGCGGCCATTTGGGGGCAGAGCCTGAATTTGCTTTTTTGTCTGCTGCAGGAGTTGCCTGGGAGAATTTATTTTCCCATCTCAAATCACCCTCTTTTAGGAAGCACAAGACTGTGAGCTGAGTCACCTTACCTTCTCCAGATTTACGATTCAGAAAAGCCACTTCGGGCTCCCTGGAGGTCCCTCTCAGCCTCTCACCTTCTAGCTGAGAATCATCCGCAGAATTGTTGCTGGCCCCATCTGCCTGGCCATCTGCGTTCTGGAGGGCGTGCTGCAGACTGAGCTTGTGGCACACTTCGAACGCTTGGCCCACCGTCCGTACCACGCGCATCGCCTGGGTCTGCGGGAAGATACTGCGTTAGCAGGAGCCACCGTGAAGCCCGGGGTAGCCGAGCTTTCCCCAGCTTCGCTTGCCTTCTTCTTGGACTTGAACACATTGCAGCGGAAGGAATTGTTGGTGCTGTCCCTGGCGATGTAACTGAAGATCTTGAGATCTTGCGAGTCGTGGGAGACGTAGAAGATTCTAAAGGAAGGTGGAATCAGAGAGAGAGGTAAACTGAGCGCCGTGTACCAGGTCGTCTGAAGAGAAGCCTCACCTCTTCCTTGCTCCACACATTCAGAAGCACTTGCAGAGAATCATTCCTTATTCTCTGGCAATTCTGGGGGATAACATACACAACATGCTTTGAGAACTCAGCTGTGCTTCGTCTTGGTTTAGGAGGCAAAACAGAAGGTCAATCCAGCTGCCCCAGGATGAAAGCAGAAATCTCTTCTATCTTGGATCATAGGCCGCCAATGGTTGGAGGAAAGCCCCCTCCTCTCTCTGATACAGAAGTTCTTACCCGGGGCAAATGGGGGAGGTCAGAGGGCACTCAGGAACCGTGATGGGTACGGAGGGACAAGAAGGCGTGACTTATTCCCAGCAACTCACCTGTAGACGGGGTCGTGCATCACCATCATTTTACCCTCATCCCAGGTCCATTCCTTTCTCTGCAAATAAGATTAAGAGCAGAGATGGAGTTAGCAGTGCCAGTTACTTTGGGTTTAGCAACCATGCAGCACCCCGCATTCTCCAGTAGCTGGAGGGAGCAAGAGACACCTGGCCAGGGACTTGGGAGGAGCGAAGCAGCGAGAGTAAACTCTGGGCATGCATTTCCTTCTGCCAAGGGAGACGTGTGTAAATTAATAAACGATATAGGTAGAGGACCTATATTTGAATTGTTGCCTGAAGAACCCTTGGGACAGCTGTTCCAGTTAAATTCACCCTTTCCACCCCAGCAGCCTTGATTGCTTTTGGGCTCAGCCCCCACCCGGTTCTTGTCATGCTTCATTTTGGCATCCACAAGGCCACGGCCACCCACCTTCTGCTTCTTCCGCAGCAGCACCTTCACCCCGTCAACCGAGACGACAATGTTGACTTTCCTCTTCTTCACGTTCTTGGCCTTGAATTCATACTGTGGAGGAAGACAATGATGGCCACAACGCCTTGGTACTCGTGACCCCTTCAGCCTTAGTCCTCCTTTCTTGCTCTGCCCTTGATGGGGGTTACTTGCAAGGAGCTCAGCGCCTTGCTTCTGGCTGGCTTCCCTCTCTCCAGGCTGAGAGGCTGGATCCTTTGTAGGATCCTTTTCATCTCAGCTCCGTTGTTCCCGGGCCCTCAAAAGTTGCTTGCATTCAGTCCCATTGGAAGGAAAGTGGAAACTCAGTGTATTGGGCGGGGGGGGGAGAAGAGTGCTGATTTTATCCCTTAAAATGCCCTCCAAATGAGATGGAGAGCATGCATTTTTGTCCTCCCCCCCCCCCATTTTTAAAAGATAGCTGTGAGTGTATGTGAAAGAGCGAAGGCGTTCCATCTTGATCTCTCCTTGGTTCCAAAATGAAAGCATTTGGCAATAAAATGGTTGTTTGGGGCAGATTAATTCTGTCCTGGGGTCTAGGGGTATTTGATGGGCATCGCCTGATTGCATTTCCATCCGGGATGTGTGCTGCTTGTTGATAGAGGTGGGGCTGCACTTTGTACTTCCTCAGAGGCACTTTTAGTTCTGCTCTGGCCCAAGACGCAGCTCCCACGGCTAAGCCCACCGGCTTTTGTGGTGAACTGCTTTTGCTTCACCTTCTGTGCCAGAGGGAGGGAGGGAAGGGGGACGCATGGCGCTCCTGAGATTTCCGAGTTCACACTGGGAAATCAGGCGGGCTGCTGCTTGATCTGCAGATTATCGCCCAGGGCCAGCAGTTGCAGCGATCAGCAGCAGCTAAGCCAACACCGAACAACCGTGGGCGAAGCCAGCAGCCAGCATTCAGGCCACGGAGTTCCTTTCTCGTTCGGCATGCCCACGTGTGCCCTCGCAAAGTCCTTGCTCGTCCTCTGCTGGGCACGTTTGATTCATCAGTCGGATACTGCAGGTAAAGAGAGCTCCTTTCAATCTGGGCTAAAAATATCCTTGTTTCTGGGATCAAAAATCTCAAATGCTGTCTGCAGACA